TATAATAATATATAGATTATAATAAGATTAATAATTAATATATAGATTATTTAATAAGATTATTAAATAAGTTAATTAATAAGATTATTTAATAAGAATTAAAATTAATATTTAATCATATATAAAAATTAAATTAGATTTATAGAAAAAGTTAGCTATAAATAAAAATAAGTAATATAATAAATAAAAAAATAGTATTTCAAATAATTAAATTAATGGTTGATATTACTATCTTTTATTATTTTTATCTTTACTAATACATTTTTATTCTTTATTAAGTTTTTCATGTAATATGTTAAAATTTTCAAATATTTATTTTGAACATTTAGAAAAATCCATTTTATTTTTCACTTATTTTATTCTATAATGTCTCTAGAAAAATTAGAATCCGATAAATTTCATAAATGTTCAGTAGAACTTAAACCTAAGTCTTTTATCACTTATTTGTGTAATTTAATCATTAAAAATTTTAATTGCTAAAAATTTCATATTTTTTTGTAATATATACTTTGAATCATTGTTATATTAAAAAATTTCTTCAAAAATTTATATTCATTGTATTAATCTATTTTTATTAACATTTTTATTATTTCATTAATTGAATTTAAAAGTTCAATTTTTTTCCAAAAGAAAGATTTCCATAATTTTAATTATCATGTACTAAATCTAACTATTAATATAATAAACAATTTTTTTAATACTTCATTTTGCTTTTTTAAATTTACAATGCTATTATTCTAATAAAAGATATAAAATGATGAAATTAAGTTTGAACTACAGCAATTAATAAAAAAGAAGCAAAATATTTAATTGAAAAATTTAATTGAATCAGTAAATAAATGTAATAAATATAAATTAAAGAATTTTAGTAAAAATAGTCTTGAATGACAATTAATTTTTCAAAATCACAATAATTTAAAACACATGTTATTAAAAAAATATGAAATGTTTGGTAATTAATATTGAATTATGCAAATAAATAAATAAGTGGCTCAGATTTAAATTAAAATTTATGAAATTTATTAAATTCTAATCTTAAAATAGAAGATAAAGATTTCTGTAAAATAGAGATCCTCTAATATATAAGATATATAAATAAAATATAAGATAATATAAATAAGATAATAATAAATATAAATAAGATAATATAATATAAGATAATATAAATAAAAAATAAAAAAATTTTTTAGTAATTTAAAATTAGTATCTGAAAATCCTAATAAAAATTAAATGAAAAATTTAATGATGAAGTAACCTAATAAATAATAAAAATATAATAGAGATAGTAATAATTATGTTAAAAAATATAATACTAATCATAAATTTTAAATTATTTACAGTCCACTTATTTTTATCTATTTATAATTAACTAATTTTTTTTACAAATCTAATTTATTATATATTAACTTTAAATTGGCTTTAAATATTAATTTAATATTAATTAAATAATTTTTTATAATAACTAAAAATTATATATATAAAAAATGAAATTTAAATATTTAATAAAAATATGATTTTGATTAAATTTTATTTATAACTATTTTATTATCTATTTCATTTTATTCTCAATTATATTATAATTATTTATTTGAATAAAAAAAGAAGTATTGCAAAAAATTAAAATATTTAAATTAAATTAAATGCAAAAATATCAAATGTAAGGA